AATGGTTGCTATAATGAGGCAGCTACTAAACAAGGACTACATCTATCCCACTTTTTAGAAATATGCATCAATTGTAAACTTGGTGTACCAATGGAAAAGAAAAAAGAGGAAAAACGGATAGAAAAAAAAATATTCTAGTTTGTTTAAATCTCCTGGGACATATTTTTCTCTGGTACAGAACTTCCCCCCTTCTTTCACAGTTGCTCTGGAAATTACCCTGCCTCAAATTCCTCTCGTTTGAGCTTTAGCTTCAGGCAGCGTGAACTCTTTTACTGCAAAAATGTAGCTCACTCTGAAAAACCTGTTTTACATTCGCAAGTTATGAAACTCAGATAAGATCTCAGATAAGATCTCAAGCTTTTCATCAGGCTCGCCTGATACGCCAGTTGCGCCCCTTTCTGGATCGGGACACCCTACGCACGGTCACTCAAGCCCTTGTTGTTTCCCGCCTGGACTATTGCAACGCTCTCTACATGGGGCTCCCCTTGAGGTGCAGGACCTCCGAGGTCGATCAAGTCTTACGCCGGCGCGCCCCCTAAAACCCCCGGAGATCTATGAGGGTACATTGTGGAGAGGACGCGCTCGACGTGACCGACGGCCACCGGAAGGCCCACGCGAAGTTCCACAATCATTGTTCTTTTAAAGCGCTCCATGGCAATGGACCTAGGTATTTGCAAGACCGCCTCCTACCAAACACCTCCCTTCGACCAGTCCGCTCCCACAGAGGGCCTCCTTAGGGTGCCGTCGGCCAGACAATGCCGGCTGGCGACCCCCAGGGGGAGAGCCTTCTCTGTGGCAGCTCCTGCCCTCTGGAATGACCTACCCCCCGACCTACGTACAACTACGGACCTGCGCCTCTTCCGCCGAGCCTTGAAAACCCATCTATTCCATGCGGCCGGCCTGGCGTAGTTTTGATTGGGCTTTGCTAGGGGTTTTATATGGGATATTTTAGAGCAGGCTTTTTATTCAATATTTATTGTGATTTTTATTATTGCCTGTTCACCGCCCTGAGTCCCGTAAGGGAGATAGGGCGGTATATAAATTTAAATAATAAATAAATAAGATTAATAGGCATGTTGAGTACTGGTTTTAAGACCTTCATAACAGAAAACAAGAGCATGATATCCTTACAGGATTCCTAGACTTCCCAACTAACCTTTAACTTGTTTACATAGGTGCCAGATTCATCCTCCAAATTATCAGAAATATTTCCATCCTGCTCCACAAATGTCCTTGTGGTATCCCGTTTCATTATCCATTTGAACTGCACTGCGCTCCCGCTGGCTGATCAAAATAGTTGAGGGGAAAACCAACCCTAATTAGCAGCTAGCCAGCACTTCCTCTCTCCACTTCTGTTTTTTTTAACAAGGAAGAGGGAAAATACCTATTACTCAATTTAAAGTATATGGTGAAATGGTGGTGAGTTGTCGTGTCTTGGTTTCAAAGCAGGGTGGGGAGAATATTGCTCAATTTTTAAAAACCTTGGTATATATCGGGGGTGTCAAACTGCCGGCCCATGGGCCGGATGCGTCATGACGAAACTGCGCCCACCCTATTGCTGGCAATGAAAAAAAAGTCACGATACGTCGTGACATGTCATGTAACGTTGCGAGTTTGACACCCCTGGTATATATGGTTTGATTAATAGTATATGTGACAGCTTGTCCTTTCACCTTATAACAATTTTTGTGTGTACCAACATCAGGTGTGTACTGCTATGATTCCAGTGGCAAATGTTGCAAAGAACTGAAAGTTTCTCCTTGCATCCACACTAAAGTATCTCTATGCAAAATATTGCATAATATTTTGGATGATCTATTAATCCATTGCAAACACGGAGTATAGCTTCTACCGTCAGAAGCTTCATACCATCCTGACAGAAAATTGCCAAGAATAAACATTTGTCCACAAACCTAATCCAGGAGGGATCGAGTGGAATATAATAATTCATTTGAATATTGAAAAGATGCAACATGTACAGAATTTATTCTTTTGGTATGACAACATCAACAAGCAGATAATTTCCTGGTTTGTGGAATCTGTTCACTCCCTTCTATTAGATCATGTGTGCTGCAGGTATACGATGCCCAACGATGCCCTTGACGTGATGGCCCGATGCCTGGAGGCCGTGAGGGTCTGGATGGGGAGGAACAGACTCAGACTCAACCCGTCCAAGACCGAGTGGCTGTGGTTGCCGGCGCCCCGGCATAGCCAGCTGACTCCATCGCTGACTATAGGGGGTGAAACTTTGGCCCCCTCAGATCGGGTCCGCAACTTGGGTGTTCTCCTGGATTCACGGTTGACATTGGATGACCAGTTGTCGGCCGTGACCAGGGGAGCGTTTTATCAGGTTCGCCTGATCCGCCAGTTGCGGCTGTTTCTGGACCGGGACGCCTTACGCACGGTCACTCATGCCCTTGTGACCTCCCGCCTGGACTACTGCAATGCTCTCTACATGGGGCTTCCCTTGAGGAGCACCCGGAGGCTCCAGCTAGTTCAAAATGCGGCCGCGCGGGCGGTGTTGGGAGGGACTCGTCGCTCCCACGTCACGCCGCTTTTGCGCGAGCTGCATTGGNCCCCCCACCGACCTGTACGCTCTCACAGAGTGGGTCTCCTCAGGGTGCCGTCAGCCAGACAGTGCCGGCTGGCGACCCCAAGGGGGAGGGCCTTCTCTGTGGGAGCCCCCACCCTCTGGAACGAACTGCCCCCAGAGATCAGGGTGATCCCTGATCTCCCTTCCTTCCGCCGCGCCCTCAAGACGTGGCTGTTCCAACTTGCGGGACTGGCCTGAGGGATTTTAAAGGGGGTTTTAATTACTTTTAAATTGGACATATTTAAATATTTCGTTTTAATCAAATTTTAATTAAGTATGTATATATGTTAGTATTTTATTCAATTGTCAGCCGCCCTGAGTCCGTAAGGAGAAGGGCGGGATATAAATGCAATTAATAAATAAATAAATAAATAAAATACGCATGAGGTTAGATATTAGGCTTTTATAACAATGCCACATTTGCCTATCGTTACAACAAACGGTACAGCTATTTTTTTTCTGCTGAAAATAAAGAACAGAAAATAATACTATTTTATTCTACACTTATCAGATCCCCACCTTTAAGACTGTGTCCAGGTCTAGGCACCACACTGTAAGGATTCCAATAAATTGGAAAAGATACAAAGAAAGGCAACTAGGATGACTGGGGACTCAAAACAGGATTGATAGAATTAAATAGTCTTGGGAAAAGGCAAGGGAAGGAGAAATATTGTAACATTCAAGTTCCTGGAAGGATACTGTATATTATATTCCACTGAGTTATAGCTGACCCTTGGTGACTCCATGGATAGAAGTTCTCCAAACTGCTGTTTCTTGTTGCATTATGTAATTATTAAAAGTGCAATCCTGAAACTTCCTGTTCTGTACTCCATCTGGTCACCCAATGCTCTGATCTCTCGTTCTCTTTCCATCCACTTTGCCCAAAGGCATCAGTATGGATGTGTTCAAAGTACAACGGGTTTTGTTTCAGCCTCCTCGTTTCCAATGGACATTCAGGCTTGGTTTTCTATAGTAATGAATGACTGGGCTGCTTGGCTGTCTAAGGAATATGAATACAGGGAGTCCTCAACCTATTACCACAATTGAGTCCAAAATTCCTGTTACTAAGTGAGACTGTTAGGTGAATTTTGCCCCATTTTATGACCTTTCTTGTTATAGTTATTAAGTGAATCACTGCAGTTGTTAAGTTAGTAACATGTTTGCTAAGTGAATCTGCCTTCTCAACGCACTTTGTTTGTCAGGAGGTTCCACTTATGACATGCAACCGTCACAAATATGTGTCAGTTGTCAACGTGTCTAATTTGGATCATGTGACTATGAGGATGCTGCAATGGTCGTAAGTGTGAAAAATGGTCATGTCAACACTGCAAATACTGTATATTCTTGCTTTGTCCTTTTAAGTGTTTTGTTACTCAGACACACGACAGGTCACATATCACATTTTTCAGTGCCACTGTAACTTCAAATCATCACTAAATGAACTGTTATAAGTCGAGGACTACCTATATGCTTCTTTCAGCATGATAGTTCAAAACTTTTACTTTTGTGCAAAGTCTACCTCTTGTAGCCATATATTAAAATGGAGAAGACCAGTGAGTAGATCATTTTAACTTCTGTCTTAATTGAAATATGAGCATATCACTCCCCCCAATGTCCATAAGCTCGTTTTGGCTGAATGCTTTAACGTTAGGAACAGTTCAACGATGAAACCAATTAATTAGAAAGAAGCGTTCCTTCACTGGATGCTACAAGATCACATTGCCATTTATTGGAGAAACTTTAATTTGGATTCCTAGGCTGAATAAGGTGTCCAAGGAAATTACTGAAAGAAGTAAATTAAAAGGCTGCTTTGTCATATTTGAGAATTTGTAAGTAAACCATAAGAAACGGACCCCATATGACTCTATTACTGTAATATATGAGATCTCATAATTTCCCCGTAAATCACGATCACTTCCTCAAAAGTAACAGATTTGTTGAAAAGTTTAACTGAGTTCATATAGATGACTGTATTCCCGGCTGATAAAGCTAACCAGCAGCTCATGACAAGAAAATATTTCACATATAAAAAAAAATACTTTTCACATATAAAAAAAATCATTCTCATTAAAAATATTCATTTGACCAAACCATTAAAATATTTTAACCACTCTCCAAGTCTGTTCATTAAGCCAGTAGTTTGCTTGGCATTACGATTCACAATCTCTCTCTCTCTCTCTCTCTCCCCCAATATATATGTAGTTATTTAAAATCCCAACCACCTGACAATTAAATTTGGAAATGAACAGAAAACTTGAGTCAACAGTAATCTGACTTCCCTTATTTTCATAAAACATCTGACTTCCCTTATTTTCATAAAACACATTGTCAAATGCTCCTTGCCTGTGCATGTTTTTTTCCCCTTGCACAATCAGTTTGCAACCAACACTAGCCTTCTCACCCCCCCCCCCATCTCCATTTATACAGCATGACCTGGATAGTAGTGATTTACTGCCAGAGCACAAGAACTTGGGGTACTGTGTGATGCACACTGTGCAAATCTACCTCCAATGTCAGAGGATTTAAACTACCTCCCCAATCTAGGAGGATTCATAGCTCCTGAACTCACTGGCTGGAATAGAGAGGTCAGCTGCAAAAGAAAATCTTTTGCATGTCCCTCTTCTGAAGGCCTTCTGGAAGCCACAGGTCAGTAAGTGCAGACAAAATGAGAGCCAGCAAGACTTCATAAATAATCTTCATTGGAAGCACTGGTTCCCGTCATATAAAAGGCCTTCCTTCATGACCTAGCCAGCAGGAAAGGTGAACTCCAACCCATGCAAAATTCCTCTGGCTGGACAGGAAGCTTCAAAGGAAAGCTGTTCAAGAGAGCTTTCCCACTTCCATTCAGATACTCAATCCGACTGGGAAAAATCAAAGGGCTCAAAGGCTTGACGGAAGTCTTGGGCTGCAGCAGTTTCTTCGTCCCGTCCTGTCTGGCAGCTTCTCCAGTCTGCCCGCTCAGGCATGCCAAGGATGGCCTCACTGGCCAGCACCTCCCTATGGAAAACAGCAGAATACAAACTAGTGTTACTCCGTCATAGTGTTCCAAGTTTCCAATACTGAAGACTGCTTAGCCATATATTCCAAAAGCCACTTGATTTTCTGGATATCTATGTCTCTACTTGAGGATCATGCGGAGGGGTAAATGAAACCTAACAAGGAGGAACAGACGCCGAAGGGAAAAAATGATGATATAACCCCAACTGAGAACAAAGACAGGGATTAGCAACTATAAAGCTACAGCTTGTCTTTACAACACTCTTTCATTCCATTTGATGGGCAAAGTCCAGAGCCACGGGCTTTTGAATGGTCTATGACAGGGGCCCCCAACCATGAGTCCATGGACTGGTACTGGACCGCGGCATGCCAGCAACCGGTCTGCACAAACAAGCAAAGCCCCATCCACGGGATGCAGGCAGCACACAAAACCACACACTCTCCAGTCCGTGGAAAAACCTTGCTCCACAGAACTAGTCCCTGGTGTCCAAAAGGTTGGGGACCTCTGGTCTATGAAATAGTTGATCTTGGTTATTCTGTAATCTTTTTGTTATTCTTTTTTCTGCTTCTGGATGTTTATTGTGCTTTGCTTTTATTTCCTATGTTTTTTATGTTTCTATCCAAATGTAAGCTGCCCAGAGTCAATCAGTGACTTGGGTAGCTATTTAAATCACACATTTTTTTAAATTAAAAAAAGAGAGATTAAATAAGGTTAAGTAGAATAAACTAACCTTCCAAACTGCAAGGGAAAGTTTTTGCTAATACGATGGAAGAGTTTCTCTCCGTTATCAAGTTCAACATAAAAATATGGTGTCCCTGGCTGAATTATCTGAAAGACAAGAAGCATTTCCATGTAGCAATATTTTGACCATTTCCTTCCAAAGAAGAATCTGTGTGGATGATAAAAAAATACATGATCTCTGAAGCATGTTTACTAGGCTACCAGGAAAAGGAAAGCAAGTGCCAAAGTTGTGGTACAGCTGGATTTTTGCTCAGTAAGCAATTTTTCTTTCACATCATTCAGGATGCGACAAAACTAGATTAAGGCTGTAATTCCTTTTTGCAAACTCATAGGTGTTTTTAAACGGGCAACTTTTGACAAGTTACAACAAATACATGCAGGAACTGAAGTTTATGTATGTTTTTAAAAAGTGATGCTGGTAATTTTGTATTTGTTATTCTGGATACATTTAGATATACTGGCACAGATGCTCTTTGTGAGAAAAAAAGGATAAAGTTACAGAAGAACATGTGCAAAGGGTGTTGTGAAAGGGATATTTTTAATTTGGTTTTCTTTAAATGTATGTAGTTTAACTGCAACAATTACCAGCCAGTGACAATAGCTGTGGCCAAACATTCGGAACTGAGGACCAGGCTGCTAAAGAGTGCTCAGACTGCGGAAGCCTGCTGCAGGAAACCCTCACTGATAGTATGTAACATGTAATAAAAATACACATCGAAGTTGCTGACTCAATATCCTGCCATCCGCTTACAAATAAAAGGAAAGGGCACATAAAAGAACATGCTAGATTGAGATCCAACTCCTGCATTACCAGAATTCCTTGCAGCAACACTCTGGTATAAACAAAGGAAGCAATGGCTTAACTCTTACTTGTTTGAGAGCTGAATGTTCTGGTATCTCTAATAACTCAATGTGACGTTCCTCTGCTTGACTTATGAAGGCTTCCTTAATGTCTTCAGTAACACAACAGGTCTCGGGTACAGGAACAACCTAAAAGAATATTTTCACAGCACTTAGGAATGAAAAAAGGAAGTCAAAAAAAGCAATATTTAAGGCAAATTAGGAGCTCCATCATTGGGACCAAAGAGGGCCCTCAGCAAAGATTATCATCATGATGAAAGGCAAATGCCTCTCTTGCAGTCTTAAACTTATGAACGTGAAAATTGGCTGTGGGAGATGAAGCACTGAGGACTTGTTTTTCTTCTGGAATCCTCAGTTTTCTTGCCTCACTTATATTCTCTGTGGTAGCCAGATGCTGTTCAGATACTGTTTCTGGTCAGCCAGATAGAAACTACCACAATATATCACTAGAAAAACATGGTGGTATAAGCAGAACACTGTCTATGAAGAGAATGTACAGATAAGGTTTATACTGAAGAAAAGGATATTCCGTGGCTCTTAGTGCTGTTAAAACCACCAAATCATATGCAAAATATACAGAAATTTTCGCTAAGTGTTGCTGTTAAAAACATCCTGCAAAGACAGAAATGCCTCACCTGGAGCTGGAGGTGTTGACTCCTATAATTCCTTTCATAAATCACACACCTTTTTCCTTTGGCTTTGAAGAATTTTTTCAGCACAGACTTGTACTGATCAACTTCTTCCACTGCTTCTGAACCAAGCTCGACCATTGACTGATAATGTCCAATGGGCAAAATAAGGACATGATCAGGTGACAAGCCCCCCTTGGCAAGGGCAAGGTAGCACTAGGAAAAGAACCCAAGAAACAGCGATGAGAATCATTAGCACTCCCTAGCCCAGGGGTAAGCAACCTTGGCTCTTTTATGACTCGTGGACTTCAACTCCCAGAATTCCTGAGCCAGCATGGCTGGCTCAGGAATTCTGGGAGTTGAAGTCCACGAGTCATAAAAGAGCCAAGGTTGCCTACCCCTGCCCTAGCCAATCTCTTCATGCTATTAATGTTAAACTGATAGGAACAGTATTGACATTCTGAAATGTTGTCCGAATCTTTCCACTCGCAAAGAAACAAAAATTACAGTAAGAGATAACTACTAAAAAGTCATTATTAGACGTTTTTATGCCACCAGAGAGAAAACTGATTATTGCTAAACGCAATGAAGATTGTGCAGGATGTTGCCAAACGATAATAAAAGAATTGCGGAAAAAGAGAGATTGTCAACATCTGATTAATAGTGACAAGAAACATGTATCATGAATAATTTTTATGAATGAAAAACAAGTACTCTATTTCACATCAGTTTGATGAATGAACAATATTCGAAAGAGCTGCCACTGATCTTCTCTATACATTTCCAACGAAGTCCAAATCTACTGTATACTTTGAATATCTTGTATTATGTATAATTTAGCCCTCTCATCGTTAAAGCATAGATATATTGGAAAATAGATACTTACATGAGTGCCAATGGTCACCACTAAATGCTTCTCAACATCTGGGCTGGCAAGGCAAAACCAGCAGGCAGCTGTCGGCAATGCTTTAAAATCAGAGGAAATAGATATCAGAAACTCAGTGTCAAGGTTCCGACAGACAGAGACGAATAAAGCAGAACTCTTGAGGCTTGGAAATTCCTCAAAGAACATATTTATTAGATAATAATAATAATAATAATAATAATAATAATAATAATAATAATAATAATAATAATAATAATAATAATAATAATGATGATGATGATGATGATGATGATAGGGACCTTGGATGGCCAACCTGACCCCGGGCGAGCCCGATTGCTTCAGCTGGTTTCCATCGCCCAGGCTTCCTGAAGCTGATGGGAACTGCGGTCCACCACAGCTGAACAGTTTGTTGAGCTACAAAGTTGAACACACCTGCAAAGCAGTGGTGTGCCACGAGCGAGGAAGCGGCGAGAGCTTTGAGGGTGCCAGTGTCTGTATTTCTGCGGCTCATGCACAGAATTCACACCGTGCCTTCCCATTGGTGATCAAGGAGGCTAACTGTGGTAAATATGTCATTTTTTTTGAAAAATAAAGGGACTGAGTACAATATTGATGAGGAACGTAAATGAAAAGGCAATTTCCAAAGCCTTCCTTCCGCCACTGAGGGAAACCTGAGTTGCCTGGTGGGGCGGGGGACCGGCCAGGCTGGGCCTTGTGGTGAAAAAAAATAGACATCCTCCAAAAAGAAGCCCTAATGGGTCTTTTAGACCAAAAACAAATATACGACCCAGGCTTATTTTCAGGGAAACACAGTACGTTCCACAATATATTTATTTGGCGGGCTTTTTTATACAACGCCCAGTCCCTGGTCACAGAACCAGTCGATGACCATTAAGGAAAATGCTTTATTAATATCTCTCAATGTACAGCCAAGAGTTTGTCTGTTTGTTCGGATCAATAATAATACCAACAGAATCAAACTCTTTTATCAATACAGCGAGGTCAGTCATTTTGGACTTTTCCAAGTACCTTAGTTGTTTTGTGCAAATGTATTAAATCTGATGGTCCCCCTGAACAGTTTCAAAATAAATACAAATGAAACAAATGAAAACTATGTTGCCAACCTTGGTTTGGGCCAATTTGTAGCCCTGTGCTCTTTCTTGCTCAATATTTAAAAGATAAATGAGTCTGGTACTCACGGGCCTTGAAAGGTGACCGCTTAGGTGGCTGTCTGTCTTCTCCTTTCATAGGTCGTTTCTTTCCTTTAGGCTTGTTGCTTAAATCGAAAAAAAATTGGCTAGCAGGCTCCTCCTTTGGAAGCAAAGCAAAATTGGCTGTTAGGGCAAAGGACAAATCCAGGAAAAAAATGTTTTCATGTGTATTTCAGCTGGACATGTTACACATCTGGATTAAAGCTCTTTTTAAAAAGCAGCTGGAATATGAAGAGTCCCAAATACAAAAGAAGCATATGTATGTGTGTGAAATAAAAGAAAGAATGAGCGTAGCTTTTCTTATTTCTAAGGAATGTTATAAACCCAGAATTTTTAAGGAAATTTGGAAAATTGCTTAGGATCAACTAATTAGCCAAAAAAGGAGGGAAAATCAGTGCTATGTAGAAGAAAGGAAATGAGAAAGTGTGTCTGGTTTGTGGTGATGCATCCAGCCATAGATCTACTCCAAATGTTACACAGTCCTACCAATGTCCAGCAGAAGAGGCCTGACTCATTAAAGAAAGTTGTACACTTCTATCTAAGACGGGGTTTATTTCATTGAGGGCTGCATCATGGTTGTGGTTGACCTTGGGGGGCCGGGATGGGTGTGGCCAGCTCAACGTCGCTCGTGTCCGGGGGCGCCTGTGGTGGCCTGGGCGGGGCTGGGGGGGATCCATTGTCTCCAGCCTAGGAAGGTGGGACCAGGGCGAGCATTATACCCTCCTTGTCCACCAGAGGAGCCTTGCTGTCCCTCTCAAGCCATGCAGAGGACCCCCAGTGATGCAGGCTGCCCGGAGCCCCGGACAGTGGAGGGCAAGCAGCCAGTCCAGCCTTTCCCAAGGGGGTGCCCGGCTGTGCTTACCTCCACCTCAAGGCTGCTGCTGATTGGCTCCCTCTTCTTGGCCAAGTTGCTCATGGTGTGTGTGGAAGGGGAAAATGTGTGGGTCAGAGGGAAGTCCACTCCCTCTCCCTGCGAGGAGACCCGGCTTTGTAACCAAGCATCCTCAGTGATAGGATGGGAGACCACCAGGAGAGGTCAGGAGGAGGGGACAAGGGGATGGCAAAAGGGCAGCAGGGCTGCTTGTGGCCAAGTGCTAAGGCAAGACTTCCCTCAGACCCTCCCTCCCTCTCTCTATAACCTTCCTTCCTTCCTTTCCCCCTTTTCTTCTTTTTCCTTCCCTCTTCATTCTCCTTTCCTTCTTCTTCCTTCCCCTCTTCCCTTCTTTTTGTTTGTCTTTCCTCTTTCCCTTTCTCCTTTCCTGTCCCTTCTTGGATGCTCAAATGCAAAAGGGAAACATTTCTTGATGCCTCCTTGCCTTGTGATCAAATGCTACTTTTGCTAGTAGTCTGTGGCCACTTAAAAGACTGAGAACAAACCAGGCTCAGTTTATCCCATGCTTGCATTTAGACAACAGTATAGTACAGATAACAGTACGGCAAAACTGTCAAAATGGTGGCTGTGATAGTTGATCAGAGCTTTTCTGTTTTTTATGTGCAACACCTTTAGCATTTAAGAACAGAGGTATGTTTCTATTAATACATAATCCTTAAAAGAACTCTCCTGTGGGGACCCTGCCATGGTCTAATTCAAACTGGAAATATAGCAAAGGAAAATATTTTTCCCCCACTATGCTTTGTCCTGTTTTCCCCACTGGAAATGGCTGTTTGCAACAAACAAGGAGAGGATACTTTCCTAAGAGTTCACAATTCAAGAATACCAATGTTAACTTGGATTGCCAATAAAGTTCTGTCTATGACAAAAGAGAACACAAAATTTCTTGCTCCTTTGAGCCCAACTCAATGGATCCAGGATTGAAGCAGAACTGTGTGAACTGGGGCATCTCCAACCAAGTTGCCTCTCTTTCCTTCCTTCCTCCCTCCCTCCCTTTTTTCCCTCCCTCCTCCTTCTCATCTCTTTCCTTCCTCCTTGCTCAGGAAGGGGTGATGGGATAGGGAGAGATTGCCAGCGCTGCCGGTGTCCATGCTGCTGCCGGCCGTCGCTATCCCACATGGGCGGGGCCGGTCTCAGTGAAAGGGAAGCCTTGTGGCTGCGAGGCTAAGTCAGCCAGCAGGCCATGGAGGTGCTGGGTGTGTGTGTGTGGCGCTGATCTACAACCTGATTGCGTCGATCGAAGCCAGAACGCGCTCAGCCTTAGATTCATGGGGCAGCCCTGGAACCAGCGAGGAGCTGCCCCGCTACCTCTGCCCCATTCCCTGGGTATGCGCACAGGAAATGACCAGTGCCGGTGTCCTGGGTAAAGTCAGCCTGCGGGGTAAGACAGCCAGCAGGGATGCCAGACTCTGCTTGTGCGTGCGCCCAGAGGGTGGGGCAGGGGTGCCCGTCGCTGGTTCCAGGGCTGTCTCCTGGATCTAAGGCTGAGCATGTTCTGGCTTTGATGGCTGGCACCAGGTTGTAGATCAGTGCCTGGTCAGCCTGGGCCGGGTCGAAGTGCCGTAGACCGGTCCTTCACTGTTTCCAGAGCAGGTCCCGGGGCCAGACGGAACCACAGGGCGGGCCAGATGCGGCCTGCAGCCTTGTGTTTGACATGTCTGATCTAAGAGGATGATACCAGAACTGGAATCCATTCATCAGAGGCAGTGGCAGGGTGTAGCTATTCCAGACCATCCCAAAACTGTATTACAAGTTCAGCAGGCCTAAGAGATTGGAAAATATGAATGCTGAATCCCTCTACCTTTGCATCTGGTAACTCATAAGCAAAACCTCCATCCCCAGGCTTTCGGTATGGGTTCTCGGTGGTATCTTGGGGCTGTTTGATGAGTTCTGCAGGATCCATTGAATTCATTGGAAGAATGCTGAACGCGTAGAGATACTGAAAGGAATCACAAAATAAGAACAGAGCTACAGCAAAAAACCTGCCGGGTACTGTTTAATGGTTAAGCACTTTCTAAGAATAGAGGATCAAAGTATGCATTTTCTCATCCAAACAATGAAAATTGTGTGTTATCACAACATGGCTCTTATAACAAAGTTACAAGAGATGTAGACACACATACACACGTGTCAAAAGGGTAGGGCCAGCCTATATGCAGTAGATTGTACCAACTGAAATAGTTGTATTTATTTGCACATTGCCATGAGGCATATATAGTCAATTTGGTTTTGGCTTAGCAGATTTCATGAGTCAAGCCACTGCAACTGGCAAACCACATCACAGCAAAATGAGAGTAGTAGCAAAGTAGCAGAGGCAGTTAACAGTTCACAATGGACACTAGGAAAGACTGTAGGGGACCTGCAAGAGAGGCCTAAAGGGAGGCTGGCCATACCAAGGGAGGGGTTGGTAGGGAATGTGCCTACTGGCTATGCCAAGCATATAACTTTTTGTGAGACTGCCTATATTTCCAATATGCTCAGAAGCCCTTATATATTGGATACTCCTACATACACCTGTGGGCTTTGTGATCTGCGAGACAAAATATATGAAAGCCAATAAAGCAGTTAAAAAAAAGAAGAAATTAACAATTAAAGAATTATCTCATCCTTCAATGCAAAACATCAAATGTAAAGCAACTTACGGGCTTGCTTTAATGGAAGTATTATTGCAGTCAAATTTCTTGGCCAAAATTAAGCTGTGCTGTTTAGGCCAAGAAATATATCAGCTTGTATACAACTTGATTATTCCTCTGTTCAGTTCATGTATGAAAAGGCAAAAAAAAGTCTCTGTTCACCTTTCTCTTGTCAGTGTTGCCAACATCAGCCAGGGCGATGAATCTGCTGACATGTTGTGCGGTTTCTTGAAGAATAGCATGGTTCCTGTAGAAAGAATTTTGCACAGATTTTAGAAAACATCTCCTGATCTGGAAGATATTCAATTGCCTCGAAGAAAACAGATGCAACAACTTTCCCACAAAAATTCTGTTTGCTTCTGGAAGCTTCAGTCTGTATAACATGTTCATGTGCAACATGAACTTCAGATAAAATTGTCCATGTAGTTTAACAACTTCCATAAAAAGTTGTTTATGAGAAGAATGGAGGGCAAAACTATAAAAAGTTACTATTTATAACTATATGTTATCTCCAATATCAGAGGCATGTTTTCACATGGCAGATTCCTGGGTTATGACTGAAAGGTTTGGCATGCTCTGGTCTTGCTTATGGGTTTTCTATAAGTAATTACAGTACTTCTTGACTTACAAGCATTCATTTAGCAACCATGTGAAAAACCTATGCCAGGTCCTTGCACTGTCGTAGCATTCCCACAGCTACGTGATCTAAATTCAGGCACTTGGAATTGGCATGTATTTATGACGGTTGTACTAACTTGGGGTCACGTGATAGCCATTTGTGAACTTGCCAGCTAGATAACAATGAGCAAAGCCAATGCGCGGGGAGGGGGGGGAAAGGGGGCAGAAAGAAGAAAGCCAGATTTATTTATTGATTCACATAACAATTCACTTGCAAGTAATTCACTTCAAAACCATGGCAAACACAGTCACAAAACCAGGTGCAACTCACTTAACAACTGCCTTGCTTACCAAGGGAAATTCTGGTTGCAATTGCAGTTGTTAAGTTGGGGCTACTTGCAGTTAGTCACTGTGGGAACAGAATATATGATGGGATTTGATTTGATCTAGCTTATCTTTTTTTGTACTCTTATATTTATGCAAATTACTTCATTAACAAATGTACTGAGACAACTTGGCTGCAGTTTTAGAAATGGGTTTACTGGGTACAGCAGTTATTACTCAAGGATTCACATACCTATAAGGAAGCCTTTCATAATTGATTTTCTGAAGACCAGCAAAATGGTATCTGGGCTTTAAACTTGCAGCTAGTAAAGATACTAACCCTGAACCACATTTCTTAGAGTTCACATCTCCCTGTAAAAAAACAAACCCCCACACAAATTTATTTAATTTTTACTTACAATGGATTTATATATAGACAATACATCAATAACGCTTCCATGGTCTAAATCAAATAACAACTTATTAAACTGGTGTCCTGCCTTACTCTGGGTGGCTCACAACAATCAATCAAAGAAATTACATTCAGATCAATAACACATAAAAGATAAAGCCAGTTTGGCCTAGAAACCAGGAGACTGTGAGTTCTACATTCACTTAGGCAAGAAAGCCAGTTGGGTGACTTTCAGTCAGTCACTTTCTCTTAATTCAACCCAGTTCACAGGGTTGTTGTGAGGAAAAGAGGAGGCAAGAGAATTTGGTATGCTGGCTGCTTTTTTATTTTTACGCACACATACAGGGAGGGGGGGGGAGGAAGAAGTAGATAGATGGAATAAAAATCTAATAATAATAAGAATGCAAGCACGATATACTGAGTGATCTCACTCTTCCTTGCCAAAGCCTGGATGAAGAGCCAGGTCTTCCCAGCTCTTCTAAATAAACAACATCAGAGTGGGTATTGGACTTCTCAAAAAGGAAAAACCTCTCTTGAAAAGTTCCTGTGAGAACAAGTAAAAGTTTCCCTATATTCTTGTCCTGATTTGCACTTAGTATTCTTATATTTCACCATGGGTTATTATTAATACATTTTATTGTTTCATTCTTTAGTTTACAATCGGCTTTTTCTACTGGTTTATGCTAAAGATCAGAGTTACTTTCACTGCCAATCTGGTACATTCCAGCTGCAGATGATGAGTCTTTGTGGAAGACATAAATCCTATCATGCAATTCCTTTCCCTTTCCAATGTACTACTTACTGTGCTGTTGCCAAAGATCTCTACCCCCTTGGGCCAACAAGAGGTGAGCAAGATATCTACACCTTTGAATTCTGAGGTGGATTGCAAGGAAGTCTTGAGATCAGTCACATCCTTAGTACGAAAACAATGTGCAGGAGCTGGATCTTCTGTGGATTCAGCTCCACTGAGATAAGCAATCTGAAGTCCTGAAGCTCCGCTGAAGACACCTTTGCGTCCTATGCATATAATGGAACATAATTCAGGCCAGAGAATTTGTAGGAAACATGCTTCAACAATGGCTCCAGATCTTACATATTGCACACTCAAATGCAAAGAATACATGGTTCCAAACTATGCATTTTAATTGATAGAGGAGCATCTCTGTTTTGTGCTGAAAGATATAAACTGCCCCTTGCCCAGTCTTTACAGAAGACGCATGTGAATGTGTCAGTGGCTAGATTCACACATCTTTCAACTGTCTTGTGCTCTGGCTTAGCATAACATGTAAATTCAGGTGGCAGTCTATCATACATAAAAAGTCAAACAGAGAAAAGATTGAAGAAATATCACATTTTTTCTTCTTAAGAACGAATTGGAGTTGCAAGATTAGATGAACCTAAGCCTTACGTCCATCTCCATCCTGAACTCAAGAAAGGGGAGCTAGTCAAGGAAGCACACAAAAATGTTACACCTCAGTTCTGTGAGCTGCATTTTCCACACTGAATTAAAGGTAGTGGTTTTGATCTTTAAAATCGTACAGGGCATGGGGCTGAAGCACTACCTCTCTCAGATTACATCTGATAAGGCCTGTTATGGGTCCCATTGACTAGGGTTAGGGTGTTTAATTTGGTGGGCCTTTTTTGCTGCGGCTCCCACTTTATGGAACATCTCTTCCCCTGAAGTAAGGTTGGCCTCATTCCTTTTAGCTTTCTGGAGGTCCCTCAAGACCTGGCTATGTGAGCAGGCTTGGGGACACTAGGGGACTGGCAAAATATTGAGGTGGCTCCTAGGTAATTAACAACTCCCCTTCTGCCTAATCTTTTTATTCTATTTGTGCCTTTTATAATTTCAATTTTTTTTAGTATTAACAAATTAATGTTAATTTGTATATTTTGTTTTTCACTGGGCAGTATAAAAATATGAATGAAAAAAATAAATTCCTTGCAATTTCCAAGGCATGAACAGATGCCAGCAGTTTTCCAAACTTCAAATAAAAGCTAGACAAAACTACAATGAATAGATATCTCACCCTGTTTGGGGGAAATGAGGAAACAATTGTGGGTACCTCAGAAAATTCACATTCTGATGTTTAAAAAAAGGACATTATTTAAACAAAGAGGAAGTTAGCCAAGGATAGTCAGAATCCCAGCAACAATCAGCTCTTTCTTACCTCCTAGGGCAGGGCTGTCAAACTGTCGGCCTTCGGGCCAGATGCATTATAGCGAAACCGTGCCCACCCCATTGCCGGCAATGGAAAAAAAGTCGCGCTACGTCGTGACACATCACGCGATGCTGCGAGTTTGACACCCCTGTCCTAGGGGCTTTAATTGGGAATCGTATGAGCCAGTGCTCAGTTATGCCTAGCAAATGTCTATCATGTTACCACAAGAAGCTTATATGAGAATCTTGGAGAAGGCAGAAATTCCAACTTCAGTGGTTTCACATTTATACCCCCAAACTTAACTCATTAAAAAAAATAACCTTTCAGGTTACCTAGATAAGTGATGTTCTCAGCTAGTTCGCATCCGCTGATATCAGGAAAATAACGCACTGTTTCAGCATTATTGGCACCCAACACATATGTCTGTATAGGAGCTAAAAAAGAATTTCCCCAAAAGTACAATTAAAGAAAAACAATAACAACAGAAATGTATTCTATTTAGTATGAGCAAAATGTTTTAAGTCAAAGTTTTATTTTACATGGCATTAATTTTTATTTAAGAAATTCCTTGCCGTTCCAGTATATGCTGTAGAGCAATGAAGAATTTTTGTGTTTCATGCAAATGATAGTGAGGATTTCCCCCGTTATCTGCTATTTAAAAGCATCCTCTCTGTATTTTTGAACAGTAACACAACACAAATATATAACTACTGTATAATTCTGTTCACTACAAACATATAAGGCTTCTATTTTAAAAGGTTTTTCTCTATTTTTCCTGGGGCACAGAAGTCAACTGTTTCATTTCCAGCGGGTGCAGCAATCTGCTGTTCTATTTCTCTGTGTATCTGATATAGTCATACTTTTGCCTGAATCAAATTGAAACATTTCTACTTTTGAGATTGGATATGCTCTGTGAGCTTCTGAGTAAGTAGCTTAATAACAAAATTGTATGTAAACATGTAGAACAGACATGTCAAACTCGCGACGTCACGTGACATCGCAAGATGTATCGGGACTGTTTTGCCATTGCCAGCAATGGGGTGGGCGCAGCTTCCGGATGACGCGTCCGGCCCATGGGCCGGCAGTTTGACACCCCTGATGTAGAATGTTATGCAATACATATTAAAATAATAAGATGTTTATTTTGATATGAAAACCAGCAGTATGCACATATAATTTGTGATCAAAGTATCAGTGGGAGTAGGGAATATAAGAGAAATATTTTGGTTCAAAAACGTGGGATAAAGTACCTTATAGAAATGTTAAGAGAATTTATCTGAATTGGCTTTGGTATACAAATATCAATATTTCTCCTTGTCAAACTTCCTATGATGAAGAATTTTCATTTGTTATAGAAGAGTCAGCAATCCAATTTCCTCAAGTGATACAGTCCAGACAGGCTAATTATGTAAGCAAAAATGAGGTCTAAGCTGCAGTGACAGATTTGTAAAAAGATTCTACTACACGACCAACTATCATTTGCAAAGGCCACAGATCCTATCATTTTTCCTTACCTTTTTTTGCTCCTGTTTGATAATCTTTCCATTCTGAATCTTGAGCAGAGCCAAAGAAGTTTCCCACACACAAAAGGAACTGTAAAAATATTTCATACAATTTTATAACACTGATTGGAATAAACAAAGGAGATGCATCAAGGTGAAAACATTTCATCTTTAAAGTGCTCCCTGATCTATACATTTGCCTGTTCAATCTGGGATACCACAATGGCCTTCCTAGCTATTTCAGCAAGGCCATTTGAGTATAATAGTTGTTTATCAGTACTATGTGGTTGAATTTTAAAAAAGAAAAGAGCTAAGGTGCACATTTACTTATTTAAAAATTCTCCCCTTCAGGAAAGATATAAAAATTTCACTTCTTAGCAATTTTAGTCATAAAAAGCTAATTTTAAGATCAAGAGTTCAGCTAAGGCAGGGGTGTCAAACTGCCAGCCCGCGGGCCGGACACATCATCGCAAAACCGCGCCCACCCCATTGCCAGCAATGGCAAAAAAGTTCCGATACGTAACGCAACGTCGCGAGTTTGACATGTCTAAACTAAGGTAATATCTTGAGATTTCTATATGAATAAAATGCTGACAAATGTTTGGGTTAAAATAGTGTAAAAGTATAAAAATGAACACAATTTTGAGATGACATAGTGAAATATTTTTTTAAAGCAGAAACAAAGATGAATCCAACAGGGGTAGCTTTAATATACTTTTATTTGTGTGTTTTCTCAATAATTCATTCTGCTGATTTCTTTTAAAGTGGTGCACTATTTTCATTGTTTTATCATAATACTTTAAATCAGCTGTAATTTGCCTAGAGAATTTGGACTATTGAGTGGATTAAAAATAGTTTAATCTAATGAAGTGATACAAATAGCCCTGTGCAGTCTGTGCAGTATCAAAAAACTATCATTATCATGACATATTGTAGCAAGGGGTTTTGATCAGCTACATGAAATGTCAGTTTTGGAACTGTATCCCGTCGTATCATTCCATTAGTGGAATTGCCACTGCCGGTCTGACAGGTTCCACCTTCTCTATGAAGCTTCTCAGATTTTTTTGAAGGTAGAATAAATGAAGTGGTGATTGGAAAAAGAAGAGAATCCAGTGCTGACATAAACAATGAATTGATTCCTCATTTGGCAGTTACTGAGACAGATTGGAAGGGCTATACAAGATAGAGGCATTTTCCATTCTGAAGCTTCTGTGCTTGAGGATATTATCCTATGGAGGCAAACTTACATCAAATGCTCCACTTTTCTTCTGAACAGCTTGAACTCTGGAATATAAAGTTCCAAATTTTCCTTCTACATCTCCACAGGCCAACCTAAGGAAAGAAACAAGCATGTCTCAAGCAGAGAAAGAGCCCCCGAATCAACAAACTATGGCAGGGAAGCCTGGGGGTAAAATAATCTACAAAACTACTGATAAAAGGGTTCTTGAGTGGCTGTTTTGAAGAAATGCACTGATGTGAGCCAGAGAACTCAGGAAATATCTCCATTCCCCAGGTAGCCAGAGCCCAAGAAAAGCGTGGGCTCCTCCATCTTTAATAACTTCAAATGAAGAGATAGGCCAGTTATGGCTACTATACTCCAGAACAGTGTTTCTCAACCTTGACCATTTTAAGGCATGTGGACTTCAACTCCCAGAATTCCACAGCCAGCATTGCTGGCTGTGGAATTCTGGGAGTTGAAGTCCACATGCCTTAAAATGGTCAAGGTTGAGAAACACTGCTCCAGAACCACATCATTCGCCACCCAGCTCGCTTGGTTTTTTGCAGCAGCTGCCAAGATTTTTAAGTCAGTTTTCGAGCACCAAATGGAGACCAAACCTGGGATCTTTTCATCCTCAAATCAGAAACGCTGCTATTAAACTGCCACCCTTCCAAACGACCAGTGGATTCTGGAGAAAGGAAGTAAAGCTCAGTCCTTTGCGGCCTTTTTTTTACATTCCCATTAGGACCAGGAACTTTTTTTTTTAAAGTAAAGGGACTCCCTGACCAGCCCTCTTCCCCTCTCGCCCTTTTTCCTCACAGGCGCAAAGGCTTCTCCGGCGCCATCACAACCGCGGCGCCTCGCTTCCGCCCGCCTTCTCGGGCGCTGTGTCACAAGCAAACTGCTCCGCCGGAAGCGCGAAGGACGCGAGTGGAGGCGGGAGAGTCCGTTCCGTTTTGTTAGATGCAGCGGCGGGAGAGGCGGCGGCGACGTCGTGGTGGCGGTGGCAGCGGGACCACTTGCGGGGTGTGAGCGGCGGGAGGATGCCTGGAAGCGGCAGCGAGATTCTGACCAGGAGCCGGAGGCGCGGACCGGCCGTTTCAGTAGCAGTGACGGCCGGCCTGTTGCTGTCGCTGGTGCTCTGGGCCTCGGTCCACAAGGTGGAGGAGGGACACCTGGCTGTCTACTACAGGTGAGTCCTGGCGACGGAATCCTTCGTGTGGCTTGGGTCGCTCTCTTCTCAGTGCTGAGAAGCCTCCTTCCTTTCCCGGGCAGATGATAGAAACCCCTGAGTAGAGAGCCTGGTGCCAGCCTCGCTCTGGATCTGGCAATACAGGTAGTCCTTAGCTTACGACCACAAGTGAGCCCAAATTGATGTTGTTAAGTGAGAAATTAGTTAAGTGAGTTGTGCCCGCATTTTACGACTTTTCTTGCCACAAGTTGTTAAGTGAATCACTGAAGTTTTTAAATTAGCAACACTGTTGTTAAGTCAGTGTTTCTCAACCTTGACAATTTTAAGGCATGTGGACTTCAACTCCCAGAATTCCACAGCCAGCATTGCTGGCTGTGGAATTCTGGGAGTTGAAGTCCACATGCCTTAAAATTGTCAAGGTTGAGAAACACTGTGTTAAGTGAAGCTGGCTTCTCCATTGTCTTTTCTTGTTAGTAGGTTGCAAAAGGGGATCACATAATCCCAGGACACTGCAACCGTCATAAATATGAACCAGTTATCAAGCATCCAAAATCATATGACTATGGGGATGTTGTCACGGTTATAAGTGTGAAAAATGGTCATAAGTCACCTTTTTCAGTGCCGTTGTAACTTTGAATGGTCACTAAATGAACTATTGTAAGTCGAGGACTACTTGTGCTTGACCATCTGCCCTGATCTGAGCCTTTCTTCGGAGCAAGCAGAAGGTTCCCCCCCCCCCCCCGACTTTAGTTCTCTGGGTAGTGTTAGGACTACAACTTATAGTACCAACCTCGCTGTTGTGATTCAAAGGCTATGTGTGTAGTGGTGCTTGGTCCTGGTTTATTTAACTGTACTTTTTAAGCAATTTCAGTTGGCTGGGTTCACAGCCTTGTCGATCCATGGTTAACAAAATACATGGTAACTTGGCATGATGCGTGAACCCAAAACGCACTGTTGTGATCCAAAATACCTGTGCATGGTCCCAGATGGAAAAAAGTTGTCCTAGATAAGTGTTTCCCAATCTTAATCATTTTAAGATGTGTGGACTTCAACTCTCAAAATAGGAAGTGTTTTGGGAGTTGAAGTTCACACATCTTAAAATGGCTAAGGTTGGGAAACACTGTCTTGGAACAAACGGGGCTCCATCCAGCAATACTTATCTCAGAAATAAAGGGCAGCTTGTCCTGTTTTGTTCCTGAAAAGGTGTGAAACAACACTGGCACTCATCTTTTGTTTTGCTCTACTCCTGAAGAGGCCTAGAGCCAGACTAAGTTGGCTGCATGCAGAAGGCAACTTGTAAATATTGTGTGCCTGTACATTTGGCTTTACTTCTAATCTTCAGCTATCTGCCAATAAACCAGTGGAATAGCTTGCCTTCAGAAGTTGTGGGTGTCCCACCAGAGGAGGCTTTTAAAAAGAAACTGGACAGCCACTTGCCTGAAATGGTATAGAGTCTCCTGCTTGAGTAGTGGGTTGGACTAGAAGACCTCCGAGGCTCCTTCCAATTCTGTTATTCTGTTCTGAATCACTGGAGTATAGTATTAGGAAAATGAGTTGGACAGGTGAAATAAATGCTTGCTGTGGCTGTTGTTTTATAAGAAAGTTGTCCTTTCTGACGTTAGTTCATGCTTATTTCCTTTCTTTTTTGTATATAATTTATTGTAGAGGAGGTGCACTGCTCTCTTCCCTGAGTGGACCAGGCTATCACATCATGCTCCCAATTCTCACAACTTACAGAACAGTACAGGTTTGTGTAACTGCCTTGGGCGGAAAAACAATAGAGGGAGGGAAAAGAGGCTTGATGATAAAAGGATTGCCTTTGTCTTTTGTACAGCATACAGATAGTGTCAGGGGAAAATATGATTCATGTTTTGATACTTGCTATGGTATCCTGCCACTATTAAAAATCCACCACAGGTTAATATGTTACTAGAGGTAGGTAATGGCTAATGCTGCATACAGATAAATACTTATAAATAAGCTTATACCTCTCATTTGCATGTTTGATTTTGCTAGTTGCTTGAAGATAAAAAAGAAGCATTGAAGAAAAGAAAGAAAAAATACCAATTTAGCTAGTTCCTTATTAGCAATTTCCCTGATTCCCTGGATTAAATAATAGGTTATATAACATCAAAGGGGGGGGAGTGATATCTGGATGTATGATCAGTTGCTTAGTGACTATTTGAAGTTATAGCTGACCCAGAGAAAGGGACTTTTGACCCTGATTCAAAGTTCTGTCAAGAGTTTGCCAACGCAGCCTCATTTACGGCCTTATGCAATGTCCTGCAGTCACATGACCATGTTTTGCAATGGTTTTCTAAAAAAAAAACGACAGTGCCAGTTTTCAGCAAAATCATAGACTTAGGGAATCATTGGCTGATGTAATGACTGTGGCATTAGTTTTACAACCACAGTGTTTCTTTATGACTGCCACATTTGCTTAACAAAGGATCACCAGAAAAAGATCCTAAAATTGGGTTGGTCACATGATGACTGTTTTACAACCATCACAACATATGGCAATAATGGGCAGGCTCCATTGTCGATGATTATCTATCGGAAGGTTGTAATTATCTGGTGAAAAGGTCAGAAGTCACTAATTTTTTAACTTTAAATTCTTCCCGTCCTGTCCTTTCCTGTCTTTTATTCTATGGGGAAAAAAATCTTAATATACTTTTTAAAATATTTCCATCACCCCAGTTTCTTCATCTCAATCTCATGCTAAAAATGAACTAGAATTCCTGCTAGATATTGGAGGTGGTGGTTGGAGCACTTGTCACTTTGTGGGACTGAAGTTTTAGAAGTTGTTTCTCAGAAAAAAAGCAGAACGTTCCTGATATTTAGTTTGTTTCCAAAATGACAATAATAATTGTTAAGTTAGTAAATGTTACATCCTGCAATGTCTTTGCTGATCAATGTTGTTGTTTTTTCAGACAACATTGCACACAGATGAAGTGAAAAATGTGCCTTGTGGGACAAGGTATGTGTTTTTTTTGTAGTTTGTATTGTGTGTTTCTGGCCTAGTTGGGAAATATACCATTAAGATGTGTAATAGAATGGTTGAGTCACAGGGTGGAAGAATAGAAGGTGTTAAATGTTCTCTTTGGTAAAAATGGAAAAAAGGAAGTAATTTTTATAATGCAGCCTTCTTACTGAACAGTTCTGAGGTGTGTGATGAAGGGTTTCAGCCTTCCTTCCGAAGACCAATCTCACAAAGACAAACAAAAATTCTGCACTGAGTGTACCATAGACGTTGTCTTGTTACAAAAGCACAAACTGGATAGTTTTTAACCATGCAAATATGTGTGTCCTTATCTTCTTGCAGTGGTGGTGTCATGATCTATATTGACCGAATTGAGGTGATGAATGTGCTGGCACCGTATGCAGGTATTTTCCTTTTTTCTTTAACAGAAAACAAACACTTAGAGGAAAGAACCAGAACTCTAGTTTGGGAGGGGAGCTTTAGAGCAGGATCAGTGGTGGGAAGATAGAAGGTAGGCAAGTACATGGTAGAAATAGGAAAGGAAGCTATGAAGTTATTGTTCCTAAAAGGAGATACATTCACTATAGTTGGCTTGTTATTGTTTGATATGACAGTTGGTTCATAAAGATTTCTGGATTGCTAATTTGGGAAGTGCTGGAAGCCATAATATCAACTAAATCAATATTGTCTGAACAAATGTCCAAAATCTGTTTTGTGTTGGGGTGGACTTATACATAAAAACTATAAACAAATCTGGAGAACACCACATTGAATTGAGGCATTTCACTATAGAAACTCGCATGTGTTGTGTGTTTGTGGGAATTGCAGGAGCATTTTGATGGAATTGTGCAGATGAAGATGTGTTGGGAGAGGGAATGGACCATTTCTAAGAAGGAGAGGTTTTGTTTCTTACTTTGAGCCCCACTTCCCCAAATCTGCATCCTAGTTCTGAGCCCAAGTTTCAGGTCACCAGATTCTTAGTGTCTCTGGGCTCTGGTGATTTCTGCTTAATGTCAGGTTGGCCTATAATAAGTCCTTCCTCATCCACAAGAGAATCATTGTAGCGGTAATTACCAAATCTGGTTGAGCACAACGTTGTTCCTTTCTTGGAAATGTAAAGTTGGGTGCAGTATAAGGGAGCAGGTGAGATTGCTGCTGGAGCACCAGATTCTCTTGCTGCTTAGCAGATTCTTTGCCTGAACTCTTTAATGTCATTGCCAGGATGGTGATTAAATCTTCCCTAGACTGATAGTTCTGGAGAATTTCAACTCATGTAGCTTGGGAATTTGTGGCCTGTTCCAGATTATTGAGGACCTGACTCACATAGGTTGTTACATATTTGATCTGTTTTTTTGTCTTAGGGCAGAGGTGACATGATTTGAAGTGGGTGACAAGGCATTTGTTCCTTGTCGTGTTGCCCCCCTCTTTCTGCAAAAGGGATTATTAGATTGCATTGCCCGCATTGCCGGATGATGCCTGTTTTCCAGAAGGCATTTGAGGAATTCCATGGGTGTCTAGTAGACAGTTTGGATTGAATCTTAATTGCTTCCTGAAATGAAGGTTACATCAATGCCTTGGATAGAATGGCACTTGAGTGATTTTTATACTCTTCCTTGGTTTTCTGAGGAGGCAAAGCATCAGAACAGATGTTTAGAGTATCAAGGTGGGAGAATGAAGATTGAGTCCTACCAAATATGTGTACAAGCTTTGGTCTATACCTCAAAAATAAAGGCACGATTATTTTTCTGCCCTCGATGCATATGCAGACTCCCACCCACCAACCTTTTTTTAAGGAAACATTCACTCTTGTGAAATTTGAGAGACAGGAAAAATATCTCAAGGAGTATTTCGTGGCCCAGGACGTGGTTGCCCAAGGAAACATTTTGGTGTATTGAATTCTGAATGACTTGGTTCACGCCAGGTCTTGGCTTCCTCTTCTTGTGGAATCTAGGTGACATTCAGCACACACCCCTGAAATTATATGCCCCTTCTATAAAACCTGGCTCTCTCGACAGGTCCCAGGGTGCAGTAGAATGATTTACTCCCTGATGGTAGTTGTTGGATAATATATTGTCCTCCTTGATGTGTGTGCCATGTGTTTCTTCACTGCTTGCCTTTTATTATTTTAGTTGTTATTTTGATTTGGATGTTGTTATTGTGTTGTATAAGCTGCATAGAATCACTTTGTGATTGAGCTGGCATATAATAGACAAGTAAATTGGTATTCCTTTTCCTAGTTTATGACACTGTGAGGAATTATACTGCCGATTATGACAAGGCACTCATCTTCAATAAGATCCATCATGAACTCAACCAGTTTTGCAGCGTCCATACCCTGCAGGAGGTGTACATTGACCTCTTTGGTAAGTGTCACAATGTTTTGGCTACACTCCTTTCCACAGCGAGTCTTTGGGACGTGGGGACATTTTGTTGTTTCCTAGCAATCCTCATTATTGATGGTTCCATTACCTGCAGTTGCACATATTTGTGATTGGTAAATACAAACAAGACCTTACTATACATGTTAAGAGGTTTTGCATATTTGGTTTGGGGCACATAGTTCTGTTGCAGGATGCCTTTTGGAGTGATTTTGTCTATTTTATGTGTTTTCACAATGGAGGATTTGGTTTTTGCACATATAGGTAACCCTTGACCTATGATAGCAATTAGGACTGGAATTTCCATTGCTAAACAATGCACTTGTAAATTAATTAGTTAATTAAATTTATTTGCCACTTATCTTGCCTTGGGGCTATTCTAGCGACGTACAACAGTAACAATAGTAATAAGTCTTAAGCAAAAAAATCATTTAGTCCTGGCAATCTTGATTGTCATCATTAACTGAATCCCATGGTTATTAAGCAAGGCAACTTCCTGTCAGCTTCTTACAACCAGTGGAGAAGCTGGAAGGAAGTTATAAGTTCAGGCCGGTAGGCAGGTGAGTGGTTGCTGCTGGATAGGGGAGGGAATGAAGGATGCATGGGGGGGGGGGGGTTGGGAAGGGGATATGTAAGATGCATAGGTCAAGAAGGGTTTGTGAGGATTTGCAGCAGTGCACAAGTGGCTAGTGCAACGGAGCACAAAGGGGCTGGGTGTGTGTGTGCAGCTGGGGGTAGACTGACCCCAGCAAATTGTCATTAAACCTATGCAAAACATGTTTTGGAAGGTTTTGTTATTTACAATTTTATTATATAAGAGAAGATTCTACCTTTAGCTTGCTGTATAGTGCTCCTTCCTTAGATATCTTTGGTAATATTTATTGTTTTAATGTTTTATATTCCCATTTTTAGCTGGATGAAAGTCACTTAGAGTCGCTTGATGGAGGGATGGGCGGCATATAAATTTAATAAATAAAATATCTGCACTAGTTAGCCTGAAATGGAACCACCTAGATAAGCCCTACATTCTTCTTTCATGTATTTTGGCTAAAAGCAGATTAGTAGCTATTTAGTCACAGTTCCCTCTCTAGCTGAATAGATGGCATTGCCATGAGCAGTGCTGACAGAAAAAACTTAGAGCTCTGGCATAAGTGTCTCTATTTGGTTAATTTACCTCTTTAGTTTGTGTTTCCTTGTACCAGATCAGATTGATGAAAACCTGAAGCTAGCACTACAACAGGAACTGAATAGCATGGCACCAGGCCTTATCATCCAGGTACTACCTATCACATGCCTGCTGCAAATCTGTGTGAGTGATGGGAAGAGATTGAAACAGAACACTGGCTGGGAAGGTCGCAGATGGTGATCATGTGATCATGAGATGCTGCAGCCATTGTAAATTTGTGATGATTGCCAAATGCTCAAATCATGTGACTGCAGGATGTGGTGACAGTTGTAAGTGCGAGAACGTGTTGTAACTTTTGAGTGCTGTTGTAACACTGAACCGTCGCTAAACGAATGGTCATAAGTTGCATGGCTGACTGGGGAATCCTGAAAGTTGAAGTTCACCCATATTAAACTTGCCGAGTTTGAGAAACGCTGGTATAGAACTTGTGCTTGGGAAATGCTACATGAATATTGTTTAATCAAGACATTTGATTGTTTGTGTATAGGCAGTGCGTGTGACAAAGCCTAAAATCCCTGAAGCAATCAGAAGAAATTTTGAACTTGTGTGAGTATAAGAACACCCTCCTGGATCAGATCAAAGGCACGTTCACCATTCTGCTTCTCATGATGGATGAAATAGCGCAGTAGTCTCCGTTTCTGACTTCCAAGTCTTCATTTGATTTCTCATGAGTTAAACAGAGACTTTGGTAAAGATGTACTCTTGTGCTGAGGAGGCTTAAGGGAGATAATTTCATAGAGATTACCTTCCAGGTAGGTAGCTCAAGAAACTAATTTGTTTTCTGCTTTGCAGGGAAGCAGAGAAGACTAAACTCTTGATAGCTACACAGAAGCAGAAAGTGGTGGAAAAGGAGGCTGAAACGGAAAAGAGGAAGGCAATTATAGGTAATGAGCTTTGCCTTCAGTTTGGCAACAGTACCCTTCTCTCCCCCCCCCCCGGCTAAGTAGTTTCTTTTGGTTTAAGAAAATCTGAGTGGGGAAACTGGCAAGCATAATGGTTGAACCATAGATTTCCTGTGTGGTAGTTAGGTATTGAAGATAGTAGCTAAATGGCCAGAATTGTGTGGCATAATTTTGAGGAGACTTAAATGTGTGCCAATAGCCCTCCAGGGTACCTTGTGTGCAGCCATACTCTAAATGAAAAATGTTGAGGTGACCTACTTTGGCCCTTGGTTAGTTTCATGCATTTGCTAGTGTAACTTTCCTATAGTACACTATAGCAGGAAAGGAAAACATAGAGGGAAAGTAAGTTAAGAGCAAGGATGTGCCATATGTTACTCTCCTGGACCTGTAGGGATTTAACTGTGCTTACGCTATACCACAAGTGTTTCTTGTGAGCTTCAGGATGTTGAATAAATTTGGGCATTGGTCCACTTGACTCTTGTCACAGCCTGTATACAGTTCTTGTACTTAACTGTGAATGCTTTTCAATTGCAGAAGCAGAGAAAATTGCTGAAGTGGCAAAGATACAGTACAAACAGAAGGTCATGGAGACTTTGACAGAGAAACGAATTTCTGAGCTTGAAGGTAAGCTATGTGCTCCACCCTACTATCTCTTGCTCATTAGAGATTCTGAGCAAAGATCCACAGTGTCTGGGAACTAGGGTGCAAGGATGATTGAGTCAAGCTGCTTAGAAGGCTTTGTAGGAATGATTAATGTTGTTTACAGGTTCCTTTGTGGAAATATTAGTTCTTCTATTCTCTCCCTGATCTTTCTCTTCCGCATCTCCAGATTTTGGAACTGGAACAGAACTTAATGGAATCTCCTTCTGCCATTACATTCCCTTCCCTCAAAATACTTCAGCTTTCCTCAAAAACCTCCCCTGATTTTTTTTTTGTCTTCTATTCTGTATTTGTTCTTTGAAGCCAAAAAAAAAACAAAACATGCTAGACTTCACATATTTCACAGTGGGCCATGCTGCAGAGATTTAGAAAGGTTTGTTTTGGTAACGATGACTTGATGGCTTAAAACTGGCTGAAAGAAGTTTTGCTGCTCCCTTCTCAGATGCTGCTTATTTAGCAAGACAGAAAGCAAAGGCTGATGCAGGATACTACACAGCCCAAAAAGCAGCTGACTCAAACAAGGTGAGTTTCTCTTGCTTACACCAGCAATCTGACGAAAGGCTGGGGGTTGGGGGAGGGAAATGAGACACATGTAAACAAAGCCTACTTCTTGGGGGAGAAAACAAGTATTGGCTATAAAAGCATCCCCTACTAGTGGTTTGCTATGTTTGCACTTAATTCTTGTAATGCGAATACCTTCCCGGGTGTATTTATTTTTTTCTTCTCCTCGACAGCTGAAACTCACACCAGCCTACCTGGAGCTGATGAAATACCAAGCAATCGCTACTAACAGCAAGCTATACTTTGGCAGTAGCCTGCCCTCTCACTTGTTTCTAGGTTCCTGGGCGATCGAACACATGATTGCAAGGACTGCTAAAGAAGGTCATCTTGTCTCAGAAACAAGGAAACACCACCTCAGGGCTCAAGAAAGTGCTACTTGATGCTCGCACCACGTAGCGTCATTGATCTGAACATTAAAGTAACCAACTGCTCAAAATCAGAGCAGTTATTGTTTTCAAACTGCCTTATTGATAAACAGAGGAAAGGAATTACAGTTTTTTTTTTGCAGTATAAACGGTTCTGCACCAAGTTTGTGTCATTCTCCAGAGCCTGCTAGGAAGAGAATCCAAAGGCTTTTTAGACTGTTCCACACCAGAAGCTGGCTCCTGGAAATTTCAAGAAGTAAAGTAATCCAAGTGCTAACGTTTATCATTAGAAAAGAATTGGCAATTAAAATAATTGAACCTGGCTATTTGGCCGTTGTGGGGAAGTACTTGTTCCTACATTGAAAGCAATTGTAACATAGGGGCTCTGATGTACTAAATCTTAATAACCTCAATCATACATTTTACTACTGGAATTTGGAAGTTGATGCTATTAACTAAGAGCTGATGCACAGTTTAGTCCCATGACACAATAAGATAAACGTATGACTCCAGGGGAGTGTGTACCCAAATTATTTTTGGTCCCACTTGTTGGTAAGATAAAAACTATTGAGAGAACTTCTTAGGCTCTGGCTCCAAATCAATTGTGTTCTTGCTGTGAAAACTTTGTTTTGGAATTTATAAATGTGTCTGAAGAAGATGCATCTCATGACTGGAAAGTATCATTTCAGACTTTTTTTTTTTAAAAAAAGGCTTGTATTTCAAGTATATATATATGCAAAACATTGGTATTTGGAATAGGGAAAATAAAGCTATTTTCATAACCTTTTCTAAGAATGTGTTTGGTGGATTCAGGTGTTTATCCTGTGTTATCACAGACAAGTTGCTTAAAAAAACAGAAATCTGCAAAAATGGGCTAGTATTTATTGGGAGATGTAGGCTGAAACAGCAATTCAGTAACGTTAGAATGTTCTGCCTTCTGATCTTAATTATTTAAAAAGAAAACTAAAATAGAAATCCTTTTAAAATTCAGAAATCAAGACAACTTTATTAAAATCTATAAATGATTATGTTGACATCAAGATAGTGTTGACTCTTGGTGAATACTCAGATCAACATTCTCAAGGATGATCTGTCCCCAACTTTTATCTCTTCAGCTCTTCCATCAGTGTCAATTACATCACAGTAATTGAAGTTATACACCTTGCTGATAGTAATAATAATAATAATAATAATAATAATAATAATGATGATGATGATGATGATGATGATGATAAAGTTGGAAGGGACCTCGGAGGTCATCTAGTCCAACCTCCTGCTCAGGCAGGAAAGCCTATACCATTTCAGACAAATGGCTGTCCAGTTTCTTCTTAAAAACTTCCAGTGTTGGCGCATTCACCGCTTCTGGAGGCAGGTTGTTCCACTGGTTAATTGTTCTAACTGTCAGGAAGTTTCTCCTTAGTTCTAGGTTGCTTCTCTCCTTGATTAGTTTCCACCCATTGCTTCTTGTCCTGCCTTCAGGCGCTTTGGAAAATAGCTTGACTCCCTCTTCTTTGTGGCAGCCCCTAAGATATTGGAACACTGCTATCATGTCCCCCCTCGTCCTTTTCTTCGTTAAACTAGACATACCCAATTCCAGCAACTGTTCCTTATATGTTTTAGCCTCCAGTCCCCTAATCATCTTTGTTGCTCTTCTCTGTACTCTTTCTAGAGTCTCAACATCTTTTTTACATCGTGGTGACCAAAACTGGATGCAGTATTGATGTGTCCAACAAATGATAATTTCAACCCAATATTTGTGCCTTGGGTCAAAACTTCAGATTGATTTGTTCTGTGGTTCATCTATTTGGTTTCTTGACTATTCATGGCATTGTTAGGCTCTTGTCCAACACTAAAGTTCAAAAGTGTTGATATTCTTTCTCTGCTGCTGCTTGAAACTTCAACTTTTGATTCTATAAAGTGTCATAGGGAAAATTACTGCATGCACAATTCTGATTTGTATAGGAATAGACACATCATAACATCTGAATATCTTTGGGGCTTTCACTGTTACCAAGGGCTAATCTATGGAATGTTTCTTTGCTGCTGTTTCCTTTAATATTGTTACAGTAATAGATCCAAAAAGGCAGATACTATCCACCACTTCAGTATCTTGTTAATTCTAAAGCTCATTGCTTTACCTGCTGTCATTAGGTCACCTTTATATTTGATCTTAATCCATTTTTTTATTTTGTTGCTTGACTTTGAGCTTGCAGGTCCTTGGCATTATCTGATTAGCATCATCAGCATAATGTTAAGTTTTTCCAGTTTTAAAACTATGCACATAATTTTTCCAGCCAAGCTTCTGTGTCTTGATTCATATTCAAGATGTAGGTTGAATAAATAGAGAGTAAACAGCCAGCTTCAGTCCATTCCTGCCCAGGACCTATTCTGTTTTGAAAAATTCTCTCCAAATTGTCATTTCCAGGTAGTCTATATATTTTTGTACGAGATATTCTGGGATTTCCATTTTCATCAGAACATTGGACAGCTTCACACTACTGAAAGCCTTTCTATAAACTGTGAAGCAGATATTGACTTGTTTTGGTATTCTTTGGTTTTCTTAATTATTCAGTATGTGCCAGCAATGATGTATCTTATTTCCCCCCCCACAACTAATCTGTCTGGCATTTTCCTTTCCATGCAGAGTTTTAATCTGGATTGAATGATCCTAAGCATTATTTTGCTTGTGAGATATTTTATGATAGTTTGTATGTTGTTAGGTATTGAACTCTTCCAAACTATTGGCCATGATGTCATTTCCCAGATTTTCTGGGATAATTTGGTTAGAATTTTTACAATTCTGTTGTTTGGCATGTTTCTGTAGATAGTCTATCAGTTCAAATAGCCTTGACTGGAGTGCCAATCTGATTTCATCTTCTAATTCTAGAGTTTCCTGAAAGTATGGAATGTGTTCTAAGGTGTCTTGGATAATGATATTTCTATGGTACAAAATTGCAGTATTTCTTCCATCTTTGTTCCATCTTATTGGAAAATACCTGTTACTATCTGTCCATGGGTGACTTGTAGCACATCAATGCAAAATTGCAACCTTCTAAGTTCAGAGATCTTTTGGAACTCCTCATTTTTCCATAACTATTTCTATGTCTCATGCTTTTACAGATACTGTTACAATACTATTTCCTGTCTTCTAAAACCTCTTTGAAATTGTAAAGTTCCTCCTAGAGATCTTCCCTCCTTTCTTGGCCTTGGCTCTCTTCTTTGTTTCCGTATTTGTTTTGATATCCAATTTGCTTTCTTTTTATTCCTTTGTTTTTGCCAGTCTTTTTTTCACATTCAACCTGTCCAACTTGATTCCCCACCCCTGGATTCCTCTGGTATCTGTCAATCTGAAGTTCAAGACTTCAAAATGATTTTGTTTGAAAATCTTTTAGTGTCATTAGTGCTATGTTCTAACAGTGGTTCCCAATGTACCTAATAGATTTAAACTCCTGCTTCCTCTGCTATTCTTCCCAATGCACACAATTACATCAATTTACCACTCTTGTTCACTGATTTTCCCATGCGTGTACATATAAACAAGACTTGAGGACCCGATGTTGGGTTGGGTTAATTTTAGAAAGCTTACACAACCCAGACAAAATTGATTAAATTTAATGAAGCTTTATCTAAATGGAGTGCACACAACAGGAGATGGTTAAGCTCTCGACAAAAGTGCAAATACTAACATAACTTGGTCAGTAGCAGTGAACAGTGTCCATGAAAGTTCATGTAATAATATTGATTCTACTCCAAATCGTTGATATCTTCTCAAAATAGATGGCACAATCCTATTCCTTGACCGAACTGAGCAGTCATTAGTTAGCCAGGACTTAAAACACGAACATATAAAAGTACATTTTTAAAGATCAAAGATGCTCCTTAGAAACACTATTTTTCACCTATAATACAATCTAGAATTCAAATGCTTGGATTTAAAAATATAGAAGCATTCAGAGTCACGATCCTTTATACACACTGTTGTTGCTAGAGTCTGTATTTTATGCTTCCACCGCTGTTTACAATTTTTTTGCGCAGCACAAGCGTTGATGAAACCATGTCGTTCTCAACGCAGCCCCCAGCTCTTCCCACTTTTGAGAAAATGACTTTCATAACGACAAGGCCTTTCACTGAGTGGGGACAGCAACCTTGGGAGGAGGGGCCACATGCAACACAGTCTTCTGGCTCCTTTCTGCAGACATATGCTCCAGTCGTTCTGTATAGAAGCCGTTGAAGTCCAGTCTGGAAAAGAAAGGGTGGGTTTATGTGGGTGACCATGGGAAAGAGCTTTGTTAGCCCAAAAGTCCCATCGAGCCCAGCTTCTACCTCCCTACTGCCACACCAGATTATTATTATTATTTTTTTAAATTTTAAATTTTATTGAAAAACAAAAAATTAAAAACATTGAACATGGTAACACAGATTTGACATACATCTCAATTCACTATTACCATAAATTGCTAATAAGAAAAACCTATACAATAACATCACTCTAATCACCATCTTAAATTATCTCAGTACAATAACTTCCCTGCTTTCCCCCCCACCATCTGTAAAATTTGTTCCAAATTTGGTAAAAAACCGTTTCATCCTGATTTTTAAGTCTTCTAGTTAACCTATCTAATTCTACGCAATACATAATTTTATGAATTACGCTTTCCTTACTACGTATCACCATAGATTTCCAATTTTGAGCGAAAATAATTCTTGCCGCTGTAACCACATGAGTAAATAAATACATATCTTCTTTACTAACATTATTTCCAAGAACTCCTAACAACAATGTCTCAGGTTTATACTGAATATTTTGCACCAGATTATGAGAGGTTGCAAATAGGATGTGAAGGGCAAAAAATGTTCCTCAGCAACTGGAATGAAAAGCCATACTGAGTCTGATCCTGAAGTGAGTATACATACACTATCAGCATAGCCACTGATAACTTTTGCTTTCTACAGTTTTATACCCTCAATAGAGATTGTTGAGGAAGAGGAATATTTTTTTTCTGGGGAAAAAATTCTGCTCACCTGTAGATGATATTGATCATGCTGTGCTCACAGTCATTGGTACTGTAAATGCTCAGTTTGTCCAGGAGGTCCAGGAGATGTGCAGAGAAATTGCTATCAAACTTGTTTATTGTTGCCTCAAAGCCAGAACTTACATGCAAGGAATCTGCCTGCTCTGCTAAAAGCTGAAAAAAAAAGCAAAATACGGGACATGAAGCATCATTTCTTTTTCTTATTCCCAAAAGATTGAAACTGAAAGGGGAAGACTCCTGCAAATCTATGTTGCTTCCTGTACATTTCATAGCAAACTGATTTTTTAAAACAATCAAAAGGACAAAACTCTACTGAGAATCTCTACTCGTATGGTTGTACAACATTAAGAGAAAAGGTTCTGTACATTCCTACATGGTATTTTTTCAAAATATATGGAACATTGTGGCTGATTCACTTTAAGCCATAAAGTATAATCTGTTAACTCTTCATATCACATAAACCAAAATGAAACATACCACGATTTAGTTGTATGTGTAATTCTGATGGCCTAACGTTTTCAAGTTCTTTTTTAAGAAATTCATGAGTAAGGGAGAAAGTGGGAAGAGCCTGGATCCCACAACATACCTTGTTAGCAAGCTGCTTTCTTGTGGATTCCTCTACTCGTTCCTGTTTAGTAGGTGGGCCTCTCATAGTCCCATGCTCTACGGTGAGCCGGTCCATTTCATTATCTAGCTTCATGCTGTGGGAAAATCTCTGACAAGCAGAAAGAAAAGTACAAAGGATG